TTTTTTTTTTTTTTTTTTTGCAAGTGCTTAAAAAAACAACAACCCACATTTACAACAACTATTGCATATTTTACCACCACTACAAGTGTGGATCAGGCTGTCTGTATGATGTACTGCTCCACACACATCTCCGGAATGTGAACACAAAAACATGTCTGTGGAGACACTTCTACTTAGACCAAGATAAAGAGTTACAAAATGCCATGTGGCAGAGCAGTGTAATTTTTTTTTCTCTCATTCTTTTATCACTGCCTTTTAATGAATATCAATAGTCCCATTTCTCTTTCAGCTAGGGTGGTTCAAGCATTGCTACACATCGGGATATTTAAATGGATGTTATGTGCCTGAGTGATTAATTTGCAAGATGCTATGTGATTGAAGCATTAGAATTGCAACATTTACAGCTCTGTGTCAGCCAGAATGCCTGCCTGCTCCATGCAGGGCTGAGGCAGATGTCTACTGTGTGTGATGTCCAATGGTTCTTGTGCTACTGTTACAGAAAATAAAGGAAGACAAAAAATAGACTTCACATTCGGCACTGCTTGCAGTCTGAGAATTGCACAGAGTATATGAAGAAAGGTAACTGTAAGAAGAAGAACTTCACAATCATTTTTAGCACAGACAGCCTGTAAACTCCAGTTTCTTAAGCAGAAAATCTCCAAAGTTAAGTTATTCTACATACACTAAATGAAGCCTTTCTTCTGATGCAGAAGATCATCCCTTCGAGCAGTGCTTGTCTGGGCCTTCTGCATGCTGTCTGTCTGGGAGAGAGAGTACACAGGCAAAACTGGACCTCACCTTGCTGAAGTACCTTGCTCAAGAACACGGCTTGGCTACATTCATGACAGCAGTGATACTATCAAACAGAAATGAGTTTATAGTTTTTTGACTTCGAACCTGTAAACTGTAACTGTTTCTTCCTGTACAGACCAAACTATGAATCAGGTGAGAAAGAGAAGGTGGGAAGAATCATTTTGTGGAGCAGCCTGTCTTAGTAATACTGGGGGAGGTTAGGCCAACTATTACATTAACGGGGGTGTCTCAGTTAAGCATCTTAATGACTTTTTTGACTCATTCTTCACCAGCAATGCTCTAGCCACGCTGCCCAAGCTGCAGAAAGGAAAGCCTAGGACTGAAAGAATGAAGAACCCTCCAGTGTAGAAGACCACAGTTGAGGCCATCTAAGGAACTTGAAGGTGCACAAGTCCATGAGATGTGTCTATGAATCCTAAGGGAACTGGTGGATCAAGCTGCCATCCTATTTAAGACATTGTGGCATAAGCCACATTTTTTTAAATGGAAGAAAGTAAGATGTGGGGAACTACAGGCCAATCTGTCTCAACTTTATGCCCAGCAGATCAGGGATCGTAGAGCAGATCATCCTGGAAACTGTGCTAAGGCACATGGAGAACAGAGGTGATTGGTGAGAGCCAGCATGACTTCACTAAAGGCAAATTACGCCTGAAAAGTTTGGTGGCTTTCTATGGCAGGGTTACAACAGTGGTGGAAAAGGGGAGAGCAAGTGATGTCATCTAGCTGGATCTGTGCAAAGTGTTTGACACTGTCTAGCACAGCATCCTTGTTTCTAAACTGGAGAGAAATGAGTTTGAGTGATGGATCACACAATGGTAAGGAATTAAAGGCTTGTGAACAACAGCTCTATGTTTAAGGTCTCTTCCAACCCAAACCACTCTACAATTCTATGACTTCTGGTTTCAAATGCAGTAAATTAATAAACGCAAACAAAAAGTTTGGTGTAAAGGGGAAAGCTCATAATTCAGGACTTAATTCAGTGTTATGTTATAAAGGGATAGGATGAAAATCTGATGAGGCAGACTATGCCATAGCTGCATATTCTTCTACCTTCCTCAAAAGCACCCACGGATGGTAATTTCAGATTAAAAAATACCGGATTTGAAAGATGGCAGTGTTTCATACATTGTGGGCTTTGTTTTTTCTGGGTCAGGCACAAAAATGATGTGACTCAATCGGAAAGAATTTGAGATATATCATGGAGAGATTGCAGACCTCGGAGCATTCTGCTGTTTTCACTCTGTTTGTGTAGACATAAGCTCCGTGCTTTGTTAGCAGGAATTACAATTGAATGAGATATGCTAGCAAACATATTTATGGGCAACTTTTGGCTGACTGCACAGGTTGCCTTACAGTTTTTTATTTTGATTCTGTTTGACATTACAGAGATATACTGTATGGTAAGTGTAGGATTAATGACACGCTCAAGCATTACGGAATGCTAAAAGTGCTTCAGTTTTCTACAATTATCACAGAATATTACCCGTAGAACAGCCAACACAGTTCCTCAGATTTCTCTTCTGGCTAAGATCCATGTTCATTCAAATATGGAAACTGGCTAACAGCTTGCTTTATCCATTTCCTAATGCTCTACGAAGGTCACTTAATATATTGTTCTTTCATCACATTGCCATCTGATTTGATTGAATAGCAGATTCTAAGTTATCTTCCTAAATCTTTCAGTGCGTGTATATTTGTATTCAGTGAAGTAGCCTACAGGTCTCTTGAGTAATCAGACCTTCCAGTGGCAACTCAGAAAGGACAAGAAGAAACAGGGCATTTACTCATGGGTGTGTCAAGGAGTCTGGTGTGAGCGTGGAAGAAGAGGGTGTGTTTGTGCGAAGGGAGTCAACCAGCCCTGGAAGCACAGGGTGTGGTTGGGACTCAGACTGTATAACGGGTAGGCTGACATGGCTCATCTGTCCGAACGCAGCACGGCGAGGCTGAGATGAGTGAATCTCAGTGCTGAATGCACATCCAGAAGTGCAGATGGCTCCACAGACTGGCTCCACAGTAAAGGAAAGGAAACCTGTTTCAACCTTTCTTCAGCTTTTCACTTGGGACGAGATCCGAATCCACAACGGCCGTGGCCCAAGTAAGGAGCAGTGGCTGGTGATTGACAGGAACGTTTACGACGTCAGCAGTTTTTCCAGACGGCACCCTGGAGGCAGCCGGGTTATTGGCCACTATGCCGGACAAGATGCGACGGTAAGATCTAGGGATGGAGTGGAGGAATGTGGTTCCAGTGCCAGGACAGGAGGACACGGTTGGACTCCAGTGGAGAACACTTGTAATGGTTGACACCATGCTCAGTCAGAGAAGGCTGGGTTGGATGGGGCTCTGGGCAGCGTGATCTGGTGGGTGGCAACCAGCTCACAGCAGAGGTTGGAGCTCAGTGATCTTGGAGGTTCCTTCCAACCCAAGCCATTCTGTGATTCTGCAATAAGGTAGTGGATGTATCTGTGCTGCTTGTAAAAGTACCTTCCAGGTTACCCTCAAGATCAGAGTTAACTGCTATGTAAATTATAAAGCTCTGTTCAGGTTCATTACATTAAAATGTAAACAGTGCACATGCATACAAGCTGTCTTCCAAGTATCTGCAAAGTCTTTCTGTTGCAGTACAGTGAAAGGGAAGAGATTGGGAAGTGGTACACTCAGTGCATACTGCTGTTTTAATGTCTGAACGCTTCCAGATATGATAGAAGCCAAGGATAATCAAAAATAGAACAAGGGGATGAATAAGGAGGAGGTAATGTTCAGAGATAAAGAGGAATTAATTCTGGGGCCAGTGGAGCAAGAAAAGAAAGTAACCAAGGTAAGGACTCTATTTTGAACGAGTGATGGAAAAGAAGGTCTTGAACAAAAATTCTAAGAAGAATAAAACACAAGAAAAACAACTGAGAAATCAACAGAATGACATTTGGCTGCAGAAGACGAGGAAACTTTCTACAGATAGTCCATCTGAAAGTAGATGTTCTAGAGACACTTGCAAAAATCTTTGACTTAGAGGATCTCACTGAGTTTTTTAACTGTTGAAAGAGATGATAATTTTTAAGCAGATTTCACAGATTATTTATTAAGGATTGATGTTGAATTTCTGAACTCTCAGAAGCAAGACCAGGATTACAATATAAACGTGTAGTGAGGGGACCCAAATTTAACTCTTGTCATGACAGATTTTCTGGCTTCCAGAAAGTAGACTGTTCTTTCTGTTCCTCAGTTTGTGTTCTCAAGTGAAGGAAAAAACCCTTTTGGATCTCCTTCATTCTCTTTTCAAACCTAAAGTCCAAGATGTTTTCAAAGCACTCTTGAGCAACCTAGAGCTCATTTTAAAGATATGGTGAGAATTATCTTCCTCTATATGCATTACTTTGCAAATATAAACAATACTCTTTGCAGAATGTTACACTCCTGTCAAGTTTGGGAAGTAAGGTCCATTGCAGATGATAGTCCTTTACAGTAATCTCTTCTAAGGTGGTAAAGCAAGGTAGTTGCAGAGAGAACACAGACTCATAGCAGAAAGATTTCCCCAGACCACTGGATCTGGGCATAATTTCTAATTATTCCCTGTGACAAAAGGCCATGAGATGTCTGTAGAAATCTCATCTGTTCAAAACATCACTTTTCTCTGACTTAAGTGCTCAGATATGGGCCTTTTCTGAAGTCAGACTCAAGAGGAATGCCAAACTGCACAAGGAAAATCCTCTTCTTGTCTGGAAGTGTGCAAAAATTTTTGTGTCATGACTAAAAGATTACCTCAGTTTATTGCAGAGAGAAAATTTGTGTGGATGTGACCGGTCAGACACTGAGGGTTTTGCAATATTGACTCTTTCTGGAAGATAAAGGAGTATGGCCAGCTTCTTCACCTTCCCTCTGGGAATTCCACTGAGGAGATAAGTTGAAGAAGAGCTGTGATTTATCTGGGGCTTTCTGTTTCCTTTGTCCCATAGTTTATATTTCCTTTTGAAACTGGTACTGTGAATGGTTCTTAAACAAATATGTTTGTGTCACTTGTGTTACTCAGTTGCCCAAAATGTCAATTAATCTCAAAACAGGCAACTGTAAGAGAAAGCTAGATAGCCCTGTATATGTTTATTTCCATTGATACTACTGTGATAAAGGCAGGGTTTTAACAACATCATTGTATTTTCCGAAGTGTGGCAAAGAGACACCTCACTGATGTGTTTTCCTACTCCTGGGTCCCATCCACAGGGCAGGGCTGCTGGCTGAAGCCTTCTAAGGAAGGATGGTGTTGAAAGAGACAGATGAAAGAGAATGTTTCCCTCTGCAAATAGTTCTTCATCAAACACTTTCGTACTCATTACCAGCCTCACCCAGATACTTATATGACATCTAGTTTCTTGAAACTTCTCCAGCTTCCTTGGGCCTAGCTCCAGCTGATGGCAAAGCACTACAGGAACAACTGAAGGAACAGAGCTCTGAAGGTCTTTGGGAAAGAAAAGGAATCAGGATTATGTATTATATCAGTGATATGGGAAAATGTAGACTTGGCCATCTGGTACTTTAGCAGTATACCTTTCTTATCCTATTTGTCTGTGTATTGATTTGTAGGATGCCTTTGTAGCATTCCACAGTGATAAGGCTCTGGTGAAAAAATACTTGAAGTCTCTGCTGATTGGGGAACTGGCACCAGATCAACCCAGCTTTGAGTCTAACAAAAAGGTGAGTGTCCTAGAAACTAACTGTGACATGACTTGGGGTACTGCATGAAAGGAGAAATACGAAAGAGGGGTAGATATAATTTCTGGGACAATATAACTGACATTGTGCCCTAGGCTGGGTGGGGAGGTAGCTGCCATAGTCATGCATGGAAACACACAGCACTGTCCCAAAAAAGCTAGATCCATACTTGGGTGTGAGGAATGGGCTCCAGAGTACCAGTATCTGATCAGTTCTTCCCATTGTGATGTCTCACTGACACAGCCCGTCAGCAACTTGTTTCGAGTGTCAAAGCAAAGCTGAGATCTATTGATCTTGCGCTTATTCTTGTGAAGACACCCCACTGATGAAGTATCTCCACTGACTTAGAATCATGGAATCGTCTGAGTTGGAAGAGACCCTTAAAGGCCATCTGGTCCAACATTCCCTGCAATGAACAGTGACACCTACAGCTGGATCAGGATGCTCAGAGCCCATCCAGCATGAACTTGAATGTTTCCATGGCCACTCCAGGATTTCTGGATCTGCTGTATTGCATTTTCAAAGTAGCTAGCACATTAATACTTCTTTTACCCACAGAAATCACTTTTAGAAGACTTCCGTGAGCTGCGCTGCACTGTTGAGAAGATGGGACTTCTGAATCCGGATTCCACCTTTTTCTCCCTGATTTTCCTTCACCTCCTGGTACTGGATGCTGCATCCTGGCTGACAGTCTGGTACTTCGGGATATCATTAGTGCCCTTCGTTGTTGGCATGGCATTCTTCACCATTGCTCAGGTAAAACACTGACAACAATTCAATTGTGTGGACGTGTTTGTTTCATCCCATGGAGAGGATCAATGAAGTGTTCATCTTCCAGTCACTGACTTACTATGTCCTCTTAGATCTAATAAGCTGATTGAAGACAACAAGCAGTTTTTATTGCTTTCAGCAAGCCTAGGTTTGCTGAAAACCTTTTCACTCTGACTGGTGTGGTGTTGTGAGGTTAAGTAGGCAGCTTTATAAGATGGGATGGGCTGATCTAATCACTCACTCCGACAGAAGAGGGAACATCTCATTCTCAATTCCATTTCTGGTTCCAAGTTCTGTTTACTGTCTGAGGTCTGTCATGCGCCAACCCCACTCATTAATTCAGAACAGTTTTCTGCTGCGAAGTGCAATGAAGCTCTGGATTTGGAAATCATTGCACTTTCTAGATGGTTACTTGGAAATTATATATACTTTTGATGGGAACAAGAGACTCATATGCTCTAAGAGTCAAACTCATTGTAATGATTTTTTGCTGTACAACAAAATCAATATCTGGCATTGAGCATCTTTAATAGGCAGTGGTCTGAAAGGAAGTTCTCAGCACTGAGCAGATAGCACTGCATGTAATTCTTCCCCAGATCAGAGGGAGATGATCTCATGCCATGGTACTAAGAAGACTCCCGGGAGCAAATCAGTACAACACTGCTATGATTCTGAATCCCTGGCGATTCTTTTGTCTTCTAGATCCAGATGGGCTGGTTCCAACACGATCTGGGGCACTGCTCTGTCTTTAGGAAGCCTAAATGGAACCATCTGCTGCAGATCATTGTGATAAATACCCTGAAGGTAATTGCCTTACTGTGAGAATATTCTCAGGGCCTAATCTGGACTAAATAATGAACGGGAGTGACTCTACATTCAGACAGCATTACCCGTGAGGAAACTATAGTGCAGTTGTCAGTGATAGGTTGACAATAATGATCAGTGATGGAGTTCTATTTAAATCCCCAGTATTTGGCTTTTTCTGCAGGGTTTACCTGCCAGCTGGTGGAATCATCTGCACAATCAGCACCACGCCAAACCCAACTGCTTCCGCAAGGACCCCGATCTCAACATGCACCCTCTCCTGTTCAGCTTGGGAAAGACACTCTCTGTAGAGGTGGGTATGGATCTAGAGGACCTTTGGCAAAAAAGACAGAACTGAAGTATAATAACCTGAATTATGTCCTTCTGCCTAAATTTGTATGAAAAATGGGGAAATGGTTTCAAACCAAAAGTGGACAAATTTAGATTGGATATAAGAAGTTTTATTACAATAATGGTAGTGAGGCACTGGAACAGGTTGCCCAGAGAGGTGGTGGATGCCCCATCCCTGGAGACCTCCAAGGTCCGGCTGGACAGGGATCCAAGCACCCTGATTTAGCTATAGGTGTTGCTGTTCCTTGCAGGGGAGTTGGACTAGACAGCCTTCAAGAGTCCTTTCCAAATCAAACAAATCTATGATTCTGTAGTTTCCAAAGTGTTGGATGATCTGAGAGTCTCACAGTCAGATTGCTCTGACTCCCACGCTCCCAGGAGGAGATCCTTGCTGGATGCATTCTCACTAAGGTTCAAGTTCAAGATATCTTACTTAAGTACCAACCTGGGGCCTGGTTATCATGATGCTTTGGCCGCAAACTCTTAAAATCAATAGTTAAGTTCTCTGTGTTGCTCGAAGAGCAGGGTAAGTACCTTGAAGGCCTTCCAAACAATGAGTCAGTCCACTTGATTAGTGTTAGATGATTTTAGTGATATTGTAGATATTGAGTCAGATGTTCCCTCTGGGTCCTTTTGGTTGTAGGACCTGCTTGGCACCTAAATCCTTCAGCACCAGTGTAGCTGCTATGCACAAAACACAAGCATATAAGTTAGTTCTTA